GAGAGAGAGGGCAAGGGCGCGAGAGAGAGAGGGCAAGGGCGCGAGAGAGAGAGGGCAAGGGCGCGAGAGAGAGAGGGCAAGGGCGCGAGAGCGAGGGCGAGAGAGCGAGGGCGAGAGGAACTGTAAGTGAGTCAGGGAGGGAGGGAGAGGGTGAGTGAGTGAGTCAGGGAGGGAGAGGGTGAGTTAGTGAGTCAGGGAGGGAGAGAGAGTCAGAGTGAGAGAGAGTCAGAGTGAGAGAGTCAGACAGAGACTTGTGGGGGCGGGGGGGAGACAGTACGTGTGCGTGTGCGTGTGGGCGAGCGAGTTGGGACAGAGAGAGAAAGTATGTGCACACGTGTTTGGGGGACAAAGGGGGAGACAGAGAGAGTGCGTGTCTCTGTGTGCGACCAACTCCAAACCAAAACACTGTTTCTAAACAAGGCCTCACACCTAAAATGCATTGTCTGATCTAAAATGTCACCTCTTCTTTACACTGATAATTACTTTAGTTCTCTCAGAGTGATGACTTGAAATAAATTCAGGGATTTACATATACATATTAATCAATTAACTGATTAAAAATTTAACAGTATCTTAGGTCTGTTTAATACATCCTAATCGGTTGTGTAACCCTTTGATCTTTTACTTATAATTTCTGCGTCTGATGCCACCCCTCTCACCAATACCTGGAGGAGGAGTGAGGCTCCAAAAGCATGTGTTTTCAAATAAACCTGTAGGACTATAACCTGGTGTTGTGTGATTTCTGACCTTGTCCACCCCGGTCCAACATCAGCACCTCCACATGTTGCTAGTTCAACTACTTTTAAGTTCAAAAAACAACAGATTTTGTTACCCAACTGTTTAAAGGGATTGTGTGTCTCTGTGAGCGAGGGCACATGCCAGCTGTCTTCAAGGGAGATCTTGTTGAATCTAATATCAATTAGGCTTTGATAAAAGCCACTAGCAGCCCTTCACCTCTAATCAAGACTCTGGGGGTATAAGTTCCACACAGCGAGTGCTACTGGCCAATCAGAAAAGGCAGCCATAGCTAGTGCTAGAAGAATACACAGGATTGCAGAGGATCCAGAAGCAAGGGATGCGAGATATGGAGGGAGTTCCTCAGGTTTCTGGTCACAAGAGAGAGAAACAGAAAGAAAGTGGAAGTGGGAATGCCTCTCAACAGAGAAACCTCTGCCCCATTTCCAGTCCCTCTATCAGGCACCATGTTTTAAATCATGCCCCATGCCTCACCTTAATTGGGTGCTTAAGGGCCTCAATTCATGGCAGAACGGTAAAGCAGAGAAAACAGTGGGATTTGGGTATGGAACTTCATTGTTCAATTAGGTGTTCTTTTTGCCTCTAACCTCCATCTCCAGGAACGCAAGATTCCACCCCATTTCTATAATATGCTATTAAGGAGAGATGAAATTAGATGGAGGAGGTTCATGCAGAACTTAAACAGGAATGCAACTGAGATTCTATGGTGTACAATACTATGGAATCCTATCCAAATCAGGTAATATGGTAATTCAAGCAGCTGGGAGGCAAACTTTTATTGATTTGAGATTTTTGACATGCTGCAGATTTTGTGGAAAAATAAAAATGTAGAAAACAAAATGAATATTCTAACTGGTCTTTTGATTTATAGTTCCCCTGGATCTTTGCTATAAGAGACTGGTTTATAGAAAAAAATTTTTATCTAACAGTATTCACAAATCTTCAGAACAGAAACATTTAAGGATTTTTGTTTCCTTTGTAAAGAGAGCTACAAAATAAAGTCACTATATTCTTACCCCTTTAACTCCTTTCAGATCTCCTTTCAGTAGGCTGTCCAGAGGAAAAGTGATGATATTGTTCATATTTTGAATCTATATGATAACAAAAAGCTGATGTTAAATACTGCAATTTAACCAGTTGTCAGCTTCTTGTATACAGCGATTATGGAAAATCTGAGTAAAATCTCAGATGGTACAAAACGTAGCCAAAAACCATTTTGAACAAATTAACTAAAGTTCAAATTTTAAGAGGAAATGCAATTTTCTAGAAAAGATTTGCACAGCAATAATGCGAAGTTTGTCTCTGTTTAACTAGAGCTTTTAAAATTTAGAATATCTGGTTGGCACAGATGATTTGGATCGAAGGGTCTGTTTCCGTGCTGTACAACTCTATGATTCTATGAATCTATAATAACTATTAACTCCATTTGGAAGTGGTATCTTAAGGAATCAATATGGGACGAATGGAAAAATTGTACACCAACATAATGAGCTGAATCTCATGTGAGCCTCATACATACTTTAGGGGAAAAAAGTTTCTACTATCAAAAGACAGTGGTTTGAGATATTTTCTTTCAGAAAAGAGAACTTCTGTCACAGTTCAACAATCTGCATTATGGAAATTACGCTTGTAATTTGAAAATATTTGTGTGTTCGTTCACTTGTTTGTGGGTAGGGGGTAATGAGAAAGCTGTTTATTCCAAATTATTAAACAACTAACCTTTCATCTGGTTTTTCAGGACAGGATTCAGACCTCCACAATTGGGAAGTTAGGCCATGCTGTCTTGGGGTATGCAATCCAAGATTTCAGCTGGCAACCCCAATTGATGATTGCAGCCCACAGTTTGTGAAGCCATAGTGTCTACTAAGATACTCAGAAGCAAGTTAAAAATATGCAGACAACTAAGCGCCTGACATCCCCTCACTGTTCTAGCAGAGGCCTTTTGGTTCTTGCTAACAGAGAAGTCTTCAAACCATGTTACACAACTGAAATTGGATATCTGACTGTTCCGATGCTTTGACAGTTTCCTGTCCAGCACGGAGGCAAAGAGGCAACCAGACATTCATTCCTTAAAAATATGCAATCCATTCATTTGCACCTCATTGTACAATTAGAAATAATTCAGTATTCCACATTAACAATATCCAACTTGTGTACAAGTTTGTAGTTTACATTGGAAAGGTATCAAAGCGGAGTAAATAAATGTTGATGCAATTCCAGGAATTTAATGATGCATGTGTGGAGAGCTGCTAATAATTTCTGGTCTGAGTGCTGCCTCTAAACACATGAATGGTGCCATTGGCCTCCAAGTCATTTGTTATGAATCTACTTGGACAGTGTCTTCCAGCACTTAAAAAACCTGACGTTCTCCATCACTTGGCATTTAGTCATAAATTTGCTCATTGATGGATGCAATTTTCAATGCAAGAAAATTGGTTCTAGATCTTTCTGAAACTGCTACTAGAAGATTTAGTTCCACACACTGGTTAACAAAGATTGTGATATAAAATTGTTTCTTCATGGAATAGTTAGTTCAGCTGGTGCCAGTTGGAATATGAAGAGATATAAACAGGAATTTTCAAACACAAATCACTATTTGATGTCACACTGAAGAAGTACTCAAGTCTGATTTGGTGCTGAAGTTGACTAGGCACTTTGAAAGGAAGACATACATCAGTTTCATTTTGTCGAAGGCAGAGCAGTTATCTCATATACTCTATAATACATTATTTATTTTCAGACAAAAGCATTTACAGCAAGCTGCTCCATGTGGCTTGAAAATCTTTAAATGAAGGGGATCTTTCTGGGGGGGTGCAATCAGGGAGATGACTGCATAATAGATCCATTACCCAATGATTAATTTGTGGGTCACTTCTAGAACGTATCACAAAATTTGATTGCCTTGGGAACTTGGAACAAATTCAATGCACTGGGAAAGCAAAGATATACAAGTCCACAATATGCACAATTACAATAGCAAGTCTGTCAAGAATTTAGAAACATGAGGATTTAAGTTTACAGCCTCACCTGATTTTTGAAAAGTGCAGTTAATTCTTTAGTGAAGACAGCAAACTTCAGAAAAGCTGTGCCTAAATCAGGATCATCACGGCATACACAATTGCCACCAAACTTCTCTAGTGCTTGTGTGTACTGTTCTTCATTTTCCACATGACCTGCACAGAAAGAACTGTATTAATAAAGTAGTAATTTCCACTCGTCTGTATAAATGCAACAGTTACGCAATCTATTTTTATTGAAACTGAGCAGCTCAACAATAAAAAAAATCTAATTGTCCTTATAAAAGTAATACATTACATTAGTGGAACAGACATGAAGCAAAAAAAACAAAATCACATCTTTCTGCATTATTTTAAATGATCCATCTGACAAAATACAATATGACAGATCCCCATGTACAGTAATACTAAATTGAAAATGTATGTAATATGGCAATAAAATGTTTTTCCAGCATTAAACCACCACGAACAATGTCTAAATGAATGACAGCTCAATTAAAATCTAATTTTTGCACAACGTGCTTTAATTTTTGGCATTGAGGGTGTAGCTAAATTATGAATCTATAAAACCTTACATCTGTCGGAATTCCTTCAATTTTCAACGTTTGTACAAAAACCGAAAGAATTGCGGACGCTGTAAAACAGAAACAAAAACAGAAATTGTTTCCTCAGTTCTGAGGAAGGGTCACCAGCCCTGAAACGTTAACTCTGATTTCTCTTCACAGACGCTGCCAGACCTGCTGAGCTTTTCCTGCAATTTCTGTTATTGTTCTATGTTTGTACGTTCTCCTTACCTTTTTCATTATAAATTCTGACTTCTATATTCTATGAAAACTTGCCTCTTTTTAACTACACTTTTTCCTGGGCAGGGTCTGCAGCAGAAGGTTGTACAGTAATTACCGCTTACACCATAAATGCACACAATGGAATTTATAATAGATTTTAAATCTAACTGCTTCAAAATGATAAATGTATTGTACCCATATGTCCTAATCCAGTTATCTCACATTCTCCAAAACCAGATTTACTGAGGATTTTTCTTGATGCAGATTCTTCTCAAGCAACCTCCGGGCAGAAGCTAATGCAGAAGTAATATTTCCAACAGACAATCAATTGAAACACTACACCTTTACTCATATTTAATCAAGTGCTTTCTACACAAGTAGATGCCTACCCTTTTCAAATAGTGGTATAAACATACAAAATAATCCCTAATTAAGGGTTTCAAAATCAATCTGGCCTTGAAACCGCTCACAGCACAAAATGCTTAATACTAAGCTGAAATTCCACATATACAGAAACTTCACCTTGAATATCTTCCTGTGTTTTTCTAGGATCTAGTACTTTTGTTTCAGACTTCCATTAATTTGAAATAAGTAAACAACTAAATAGCTGGACAGAAAATTCAAGCAAACACAATAGTAGTAGTGTCCCATGGTGGGATTTCAAGGCCATAACTTTTTAGATGGGACATTTTGACCCTTGGGTTTGTAACTTGTCAGATTCTAAGAAGCTCCAGAGAGCGCTAACTTTTAGAATACAATGATGGGTTACATCTAAAACATTAAATATTCACTTCTTTCAGAAACTCATTCACAACCTGTTAAATGTCTAGTATTTTCCGTTTCTTTTCAGATGCCCAGTGTTCACAATTCATACTTTTAAATCTAAACGCATACATTCCACAGATGACCTGGTAAGGGCTTAACTATGTTTCATACAACCTTTATAGAGATAGAGCCAGATATTCCAATGTCCAGACTCACGACAGTAGTGTAGACTGAAGTTGCAATCAGGACCATGCGGAATCCTAGACACAGCTGACTCTGTGTAAAACGCCCAGGAAACTGAAATTTTCTATCTGCAATTCTTCTGCATCAATGACTCTCTGGAAAAATTTGGAAGGGTCTGACTACAACTCTGCAGACCCCTGACATCCAGAACCCAACCAGACCCACTCTACAATCGTCCTGTCTGGTGGAAACACCTCCAACCACCAGCATAATTCATCAGGATGCAACACTGCACCCCCTACCCCAGACAGAAGCCTCCAAAACCCCATCCCACCAAACCAAACAATCACCCCGCCAGTGGTCCGACCATAGCCATTAAAAGTTGCTCTTTTGATTGGGTGCAGTTTAGTTGCAGTTTTAAAACAGATATTTACGGATACTTAGCTGAAGCTAGCTAAATTGCCAACCTGTTTAATGCAGTTTCAGAAGCCCTTGATTTAGGGACTATGAAAAGAAAGCTTCTTCAGTGCTGCTTTGTTGCATTAGAGTGCAACTGGAGTTTGATGGAATAGGAAGTCTGGTGAAACAAGGAGATGGTGATCAGTCCCTCCTTTACTCGCATTGGTGAGCACTTCTGCTCTTTAACATCAGAGTAAGCTCTTAGGGAATTTGCGACATAAGGAGAAGGAAAACCAGTTGGGGAGGAGACTCGGGGATCAGAAACATTTCAAAAATGTGAAATCACAGGATATGCTGTAAATTCATTGGTTGGTAAATAATTGCTGATTTCAAAACGGTTTCCAAGTTGCTTTCAAATTAAAAGGCAGATTGGAGAAATATTTCACAAGTTAAAAACTAAAGGCTAACAGGAAATCTTAAAAATATTAATTAAATTATTCAGAAATGCTGGGCCAGATGATGTGTTGTACTGTGTGATGTGGGAGATGGTAGACCCCACTGTGGGTCATTGTGATAACATTGTAGCAAATGTTGGTTGATTGGTGAGCTGGAGTCTGAATTTCCAACACGTCAGGGAGGGAGAAAGTAACCTGAATGCTGTGTTTCAGGTGGCGGTGACATCCTGTAGGTTAAGTACTTTGAATATGGCCAGTGTTCAGGGATAGGAGGCTGTGACTACAAGTGAGGCAAGTAGAGGGATCCTGAATTTAACTCTTGACCTTGTCCAACAGGTATGAAGTACTTGTTCTCTGTGTGAATGAGCAAAAGGACTTTAGGGAGGATGGGCAAACTGACCACTGCACTGTGGTATAGAAGGCCATTTAATTGTGAGGAACAAAACGAAAAAAAAAGGGGATTCTATCATTAGGGGTAATAGATAGCATCCTCTGTAAGCAGGAGAAAATCCCACAAGATGTGTTGCCTGCCAGGCAAGATAAGGGACATTTCCAACTGGCGTGAAAGGATATTAAAGTGGGAGACAGAGGATCCAGTTGTTGTGGTCCATGCAAGAGATCCTATTTGAGAAATATCATAAATTAGGAACAAAATTCAAGAACAGCACCTTGAGGGTCATGATCTTTGGATTATTGCCTGAGCTAAGTGAAAACTAGCAGAGACTAGAAATTTACCTGGCAAGTAAATGTGTGGCTAAAGGTGTGGGAAAGAGGGGTCCCATTTTGTGGAACATGCCTAGTACCAATATCCGAGAGGAAAGGCTAAATAGGGTGGTCACAAGGACTTTAAACTAGTAAACACGGGAGCAGGCTCAAGGCTAAGTCAATACAGTTTCAAAGTCAAGTTACATGACAGAGTATAGAAACGTTCAGGAATTCTACTTCAGGTACAGCAGGTCATGACAAAACCGTAAGCAGCGCATCAATTAAACTGGAAGAAAAACAATAACATATGAATAAAGCATTAGTCCTGAGAGGCAGGTTACAGTGTATGGCCCAAATAAGCATTCTATATATGAATGCACGTAGCATAAGGAATAAATTGAGCTTCAGGCACATTCAGGAGATTATTATATGACAGCCATTAATGAGACATGGTTGCAGGATGGTCAGGATTTGGAACTAAACATACTAGGTTCTAAGGTTTACAATGATGGACAGGGAAAATGGTAGAGGAGGTGGAGTAGCCTTACTGATGAGAGACACAATTACTTCAATGGAGAGGAAGGATAAAAAAAGAGGGGGGAAACATTCAATGGAAACAGTATGGGTGGAATTGAGGAACAGTAAAAGATCTAAAACTGTAATAGGCGTTGTGTACAGACTCCCTGGCAGTAGTTCTGAAGTGCTAGATTTTATAATTGCAGAAATCAGGCAAGTATAGCAAAACCAAGTGTAGTATTAATGGGGGATTGGGAGAGGCAGATAAGCGCCTGTCAGAAAGGTAGTAAATCTCTGGAGTATGCCCAGGATGGTGTCCTACAGTAATATGTCCTGGGTGCAATAAGGAGGCAAACAATAATGGATTTAATAATGAATAATGAGGCGGATTTAATTACTTCAATAATGAGGAACCTAATTGTGCTTAAATATTTATCAAAAAATATCAAAACAATGGCACTTTAAAAAAGGAAGACAGACAAAGGCAGTGGCAGTAACCACATGGGAAGTGATTCAAAGGGAAAAAGAAGCTAACATTGCTGTCTGACCCAGCAGTGAATCTGCACAGCTGACTATTCTGCTGTTGGACTTCAAGTATCTCTGGACATCGGAGTCTGTCTAAGAGAAATTAACAAACAGCCAAATTCACAGCAGACCTTGGAGAAACCTGTGTGGGAGAGCTCACAGCAGGGGAGCAGCAAAGTCACTTTTTGAAGAGTAACGTTACTGTTTATTTTGTAAAGCTACAATACTGAATACAGTGGGTTCTTTTTTGATTATGTTTTTATTGAGATCTGTCTCTTGATTAAATGATAAAAATAAAACCTAGATACTAAGTTAGCCTGGAGCAGTGATTTTTAGAGAAGTAAGACTGTGCTATTTTCTGGGTCTGCAGATAATTAAGGTGCAGTGATGGCTCTACCTGTTGGATGTGGGAGATTAGAGAATGTTTCCATGTTTCTGACGATTGTCTGCAGGAAGTGTTTGGTTGCAAATCCTATTGGATCACATGGATTGGTTGCAGTGGCAGTTAGAGCCAACGAGTTATTCACAGACGGTTTGGGGGGGCGGGGGGGAGCGGGGAATGAATGGCAGCTGTTGGGAGGGAGAAAAACCCACATATACACAGTCAGGTGGATGGATTACTGCCAGGAAAGGTAGGAGAGGGAGGCTGGTTGTGCAGGAGTCTCCCGTGGCCATCCCCGTCCCAAACAAGTGTACTGTTTTGGAAAACGTAGGGACTGATGGACTCTCAGGGGAATGTAGCATGGACGCTAGATTTCTGGTACTGAGATTGCTTTAATGCAACAAGGGTACATCAGATGTGAAGTGATTGATTGTCATAGGA